TAGAGTGATAGGCTGAGTAATGGTCCTCCAAAGATGTCCCTGTCCTAATCCTCAGACCCTGGGAAATATTACCTTAAATATCAAAAGAGATTTTGCAAATGTGACTAAGTCAAGGCTCTGAGATGTGGAGATTATCCTGTACTATCCAAGTGGACCCAGCCTAATGTTCCCAGCTGAGGAGAGTCAGAGGGAGATAATGCTATAGAATAGTAGAGAAAAGCAACATTGCTAGTTTATGTTGTTTTAAGCCCCTAAATTTTTTTTCCTTTCAGATCTTTTTTATTTGTTTGTTTGTTTGTTTTTCTTGCAGTACCAGGAATCAAACTCATGACCTTGTACTTGGGAGGCAGGTGCTTTTGCCACTGAGCTAAATCCCCACCCCCTAAGCCCCTAAATTTACGATACTTTCTTGTGGCAGCAATAGGCAGCAATAGCATAAATAGAAAAGTTGCTTATGTTCTATAAGTTTGGGAAATGCAATTTAAATTAGTGGTAGAATAGCATTATGAGCTAGAATTAAAAAATACATTGATGGTGGTGAAGTTGGAGTGGAGGGTGAAAAGTAAAGCACAAACATAGCCAAAGGAAAAGTGAAAGGCTTGAACCATCAGGGAAGCCACCAGATAAATCTTTTAGAGTTTTAAATGCCTATGCTCTTTGGTACTGCAACTTAGAAACACTGGTGGTTGGTGCTAAAAGTAGGAGTGTTATGGCAGCATGGTCAACAGTGGCAAAGACTCATACACTGAACAAGGCTTGTACATGGGGGAGTAACAACTAAGACATAAAGGAGGACACTAGTTTTTCAAAGGCTGCAATGAAGTTCTATCAGCAGGGTTGATGAGATTTCCCCATTTATGTGTGAGTTAGAAAAGGGAGATTTAGAAAAGAGATCATGATATGATATGAACTGTTTCTTTTTTCATTGCCTTTTATAAAAATTTAGTAAAATGCATTTTAACCATTTTTTGATATTTTTATTTGTTTGAAACAGGATCTCACTACACAGTTCAGGCTGGCCTTGAATTCACTATGTAGTATAAGCTAGTCTCAAATTCCCAGTGGTCTTCCTGGCCCAGCCTCCTGAGTGCTGGGATTACAGGGATGCACCATTGTGCCTGACTCCATTTTAACCAGTTTTTTTTTTTTCTTTTTTCAGTACCAGGAATTGAACTCACAACCTTGCACTTGCCAGGCAAGCACTGTGCTGCTGAGCTAAATCCCCAGCCCCACTTTAACCATTTTTAAGTGTGTAGTTCAGTACACTAAATACATTCATATTGTAAAATCATGATTGTCTTGTGAAATTTCAATTATGATAAAAATACGTAAAATTTCTATCTTAACTGTTTTTAGGTGTGCCATTTAGTAGGGTTGAGTATGTTTATATTGTTGTTCAACAGATCTCCAGGACATTTTCATCTTGCAAATATAAAAACTTTATACTCATTAAACAACTCATTTCTCCTTCTCTCCAGTTCCTGGCAACCACCACTCCAGTCTACATTTCATGAATTTAATTAACCTAGGTATCTAAAATATAGTGGAAGACACTCAGGATAAGTAGAATCATACTTTTTTATATAGTGGCTTATTTCACTTAGCACAAAGTCCTCCAAATTCATTCATGTTACAACATACATGATACAGGCCTCCTATCTAGGGCTGACTAATACTCCATTATATGTGTTTTACCACACACTACTCATGCATTTAATGATGAGTAGTCACCAAAGTTGCCTCCACCACCTTGCTGTTGTGAACAATGCTACTATAAATGTAAATGCACAAGTGTTGCTTTCCATTCTTTTGGGTATATATCCAGATATGGGATGCTGGGTTATGTGATAATTCTGTTTTCAATTCTGTGAGGAACTGTGACATGGCCTTCCATAGTACCGACACCACCTCACATTCCCACTCAAAATGTATAAGCCACTAGCCTCTCTGAATCCTTACTAACACTAGCCATTTCTCATTTTGAGAATAGCTATCCTACTCGCTGTGTAGTGATATCCCACTGTGACTTTGACTTGCATTTCTCTGATGATTTAGCAACGTCAACATGACTTATGTGTAACATGTCTACATAATATGATCGCACAGGCTTGTGGAGAAAAGAGAAAGGACACATCAAACTTCCATGTGGATTTCATTGTGAAGGTGGGGCTAAAGTTTGAGAAAGAGGTTGAAAAGGAAATTGAGACAACAAGGAAAAGGAGAAATGACCTGCTCTAAAGTAAATATATATATAATCCATGGACATTCATACACTTGTGTAAAAGCAAATGTGTATTTATGCTTTAAAAAGTAAATAAAAACCTGAATATATGGTCTGCAGCTGAAAAAAATCACAAAATTGAGGCTGAAAGGACAGTCAAAAAAATATGAGATTTGAAGGTGACTTGGATGGGCTGATTTTCAGAGGCATGTATACTATCAGAAACTATCCCTGATTGATTGGATGAGATTTAACTCTGATTTGGTGATTACTTGTTCATGGTTGATGCCATAGTTAAAGAATTATCAATCTTCTCCTGTACATTTTGAGATTAGGAACTTTTATGCTCATATTGCTGCTTTCCTGTATTTGTGAGTTCCTAGCTTTTCTTCTTCTCTGAAGATTTCTCTTTGGAATTTCTCACAATGATGGGTCTATTGATGATTTCTCTTAGTTTTAATTTTTCTTCTTATTTAAAAGTTATTTTAGGGGCTGGGGATTTAGCTCAGCGGCAAAGTGCCTGCCTGGCAAGCACAAGGTCGTGAGTTCGGTTTCCGGTACCGGAGAAAAACCAAAAAAACAAAAACAAAAAGTTATTTTATTTATGTGTATAAACTCTAATTTGGCAGTGATTTTCTTTCAGTGCTTTATCCAATCTGTTATTAAGTATTCACTGAATTCTTAATTTCAATTACTGTATTTCTTAGTCCTAGATTTTATCAACTTCTAGAATTTCTAGTTCTTTGCCAGTATTTTCCATCATGTCATTTGATAACTTCAATCTTTTTTTGTATGGGGAATGGAACTGTTATGGTTTGTGTCTAGATGTCCCGCTCAGATCCTCATGCAGTCATGTTGCAGGCTTTTAGATTTTTTATTGATGCCTGGCCCAATGCTGGGATTGTGGGTGTGAATGCTACACTTTCCCCTGGGATGGGTAGTTTGCATACAGTAAAAGGGAGGGAAAGAGCTTTGCTGGCTGCCTCTCCTCCCTATTGTTGCTTTTGCTGTTTTTCCGCCACCGGTAACTGTTGCCTTCTGCCATGTGCCACTCTACTTTGGAGCCAGCCAAGTATGGACTGAAACCTTCACAAACTGTGAGCTAAATAAACCTTTCCTTCCTTAACTTTGAGTATCAGGTATTTTGTCTCAACAATGAGAAAAAAGCAACCAAGACATGAAGTGAGGACCTTGCACTTACCAGGCAAGTGCTGTGCCTCTGAGCTATATCCCCAGCCCACTTCAATCTTTTTTGTTGTTGTGAAGGATTGAACTGAGGGCTTCATGCATGCTAGGCAAGAGCTCTACCACTGAGCCATAACTTCAAAATTTTAATTACAGTTCATTTTAAGTATCTGTCTGATAACTGGATAATATCTGGTTTTCCTACAGGATTTTTTTTTTACTGTCTGTGTTTTGCTGTGATTTTGAGCCAGTTCTTTTGCGTAGCTTTTTCTCATTGAATATTAGACATTTTGTGTGAAAAGTTCTAGACTTAATTTGAGATTCTGGATGATATATTCTACAAGAATAATTTTTTTAAACTTTTTCTTCAGGCAAGTTACTTAGGTAGTAGCAGAACAGCAACTTAATTCAAACAGGAATGGAGTTGAAATGTCTGGCTTTCTACTTTGTGAGGGCTGTTCTTCTCCTACTCTACCTTTATCCTTAAGGTATAGTGAGTTTCAGGAGTTCAGAAGTCCTAGGTAAAACTCTGGGGTGTTTACCAGAGCCTCTGTTCCTCAGCAGATTAGCTTCCCATGAGAGATACTGGAAATACATCCTTTTAAACCCATAACAGATGTTAAAAGTCCACTAATCACTTTTATTCATTATATCATGTATTTTTTACAAAGCATTCCTATTAAAGAATTCAAGGCAATCCTGACCTGTTGATAATCATTGTTAAATATAAAACTACTGTGCATGGAAAAACACAATTATAATTTTGCATAGTAACAATAATATAGTTTTACACAAAATGACAATTCTTACCCATAAGCATATACAATGGGTAGAAAAAATGAGGTAGCAACGGTTTAAAATTCATGAAGAAGTCAACTTATTAATGATAATGAAATTAACAGGTCATTTTGAATATTCCTAAAAGATCAAATTTACTAATGAATGCCATGAAGATATTTTCATTAAAGATAAGAAAAATATTTGGTCTTGAAATTATTATACTTTAAAACTCTAAAAAGGGAGTATTTTAATTTCTTATTTTGAAAATGAGATAAGACAAAGAGAGGGTATTTTTCTGGGCTCTAACAGTGAATCAGTCTACTGAATCAACATTAGGATCTAAATTGTCTTTGTTATGGACTAAAAAATTGGAAAATTTATGAAAGCTGACCAATGATCTCAAATAACTTGATAATCATATTTATTCTAATTTCTTTTATTAGCTGTCCCATAATCATTTAAGTGCTATTTATCATCATTATCATCTTTGCAGAGTAGTTTATGAAATTTATGCCTTTTACCAAACACTATAACAATAGTTTCTGAGTATAATGTATTTGACTCTCAACTGAGAAAATAAGAAATTTGGTATGTAAACTCATCAAAGAACTAGTCTATTAGTCATGAAAAACACAAATTGCACAGCACTTATTTACTAGACATGTATTTAAGAACTATTCTTTTGAAGGTTCTTTACTAGGCCAGCTGTAGAATAATAAAAGATCAAAGAAACATAAGTCATTGCCCAGTTGGATAATTTAGGATTACAGAATTAATCTAATAAGTATTCCTAATGCCTTCCTCACTTTCCTAGGTGTGTCTAAAATTATTGCAAGTTTGATTGGTTCCCTTGAATTCTGTTCTTTCAAGTTGGAAAACCTCTCGGAACATTCTGAGACGCATCTTGAAGAATGGGATGGAGTTAATGAAAAAATCAATGAAATGAAATCTCAGTTGGATTCATTATTAAGTATTTTGGTCACTGCTTCACAGTGCAAGGACACGGAATCTGGCTTGTAAGTTTCCATAGCTGTCTTTCTTTTTGTGAGAATGTATTTTAAAGCTTTATTGGAAGAAAATTCACGTGCCGTACATACAATTTACTCTTTTAAAGTATACAATTTAGTGATTATCAGTGTATTTACAGAGATGGGCACCTGCATTCAATTTTAAAACATAATATCATCTTCAAAAGAGGCTTCATAGCCAGGTGTGGTGTCACATACCAGTTTTAAAGTGTCTCTGAGGCAGGAGGATTGCAAGTTTGAGGCCATCCTGGGTAGTGTAACAAGACTTTTTCTCAAAATAAAATAAAAAGATAACAAGGGTTGGGGATATAGCTCTGGGTTCCCTGGGTTCATTCCCCAGGACCTCAAAAAGGAAGGGGTTAGGGAAAGGAAGAGTAGAATAGTTGGAGAAGGAGGAGGAAGGAGAAGAAAAAGAAGACTAAAAAGATCTGTATGTATTAGCGATTATCCTATATATTAGTAATATTTTGGGTACTGTTGCAAAACACTAGGAAGTGGGTGGATTATAAAGCAGAGAATGCATTTAGCTCACATTTTAGAGGTGGAAAGTCTAAACAGCATAGTGTCCTCTGGCAAGGGGTCATCATGATATGGGAATGCAAAAAGCAAGAGGCAGAGATCATATAGCAAGACAAGACAGATGGGTCTCACTCCCTCTTTTCTTTCGTTTTTTAATTTTAATTTTTATTCATACATTTTTGCAGTGCATAATTATTACATTCATTGTAAAGTCTTGATATATAGGAATCATACAGCTTAAACTTTTTTTATCCCCTTCCTCTGCCTTCCCTCCTCAGTCCCTCTATCTCCTAGTCTCCTTCCCTTTTGCAAAAAAAACTATCTCCCTGCTTCCTATCTTTTATTTTACTCTTTATTTATACTTTGGTTCCTCATATAAGAGAAATCATGCTATATTTAAGCTTGTGTGTCTTATTTGTTTCACTTATGTCTTGGTTACCTTTCTCTCATTGCTGGGACAAAATACCTGATGCCCAAAATTAAGGAAGGAAAGGTTTATTTCGCTTACAGTTTGTGGAGGTTTCAGTCCATACTTGGCAGGTTACAAGGCAGAGTGGCACATGGCAGAGGGCTACAGCTCATGGCAGCAGAAAACGCAAAAGCAATGGACAGACATGTGCTTTCATTTCTTCACAGATACACTTCACAGTGGAAATTACTGATCATATGAAAGTTCTAGCTTTAATAATTTTAGGGATTTCCAGACTATTTTACAAAGTGATTTTGGAACATTTATTTATGCTATTTTATGTTCTCACATATGTGAGATATGTATGAAGGTTTTGACTTCACATACTTGCCAACACTTATCTGACTTTTTGATTATACCTGTACTAGTGGGTGTGAGGTAGTACCTCACTGTGGTTCTGATTTATATTTCTCTCATGGTTAGTGATGTAAAGCATTGTTTCATGAGCTTATTGGCCATTTGTATATTTCCTTTCGGGGGAATATCTATTTAGATCATTTGACTTTATTTTAGGTGAGTTGTCTCTTTACTATAGAGTTGTAAGAATGAGTTATGTGTTCTGAATACAAGTCCCTTTTCAGAAATATGAATAGCCAACATTTTCTCCCATTCAGTAGGTTGTCTTTTCACTTTCTCAATGATGTCCTTTAGAAGAAGTTGTTAGTTTTGATGAAATCTAATTCTTTTCTTTTCTCCTTTCCTCTCTCCCTCCCTTCCTTCCTGCTTCTTACTTGTGCTTTTGAAATCACATTTAAGAATCCTTTACCAACTCCATCGTGAAAATTTACTCCTATATTTTTTCCTACAAGTTTTATGAATTTGATCTTACATTAGGCCTGATCCATTTAGTATATGGTGGGAGGTAAGCATCCAATTTAATTTATTCCTTATGATAATTGTTCTACACCATTTATTGAATAGACTATTATTTCCCCATTTAAAATATTGGCATCTTTGGTGAAAATCAGTTGGATATAGACATGAATGTATTTCTAAACTATTAATTCAGATTGATCTATATGTTACCCTTGCACCACTAACACATGGTCTTGCTTAGTTACTTGCCCCTGTCTGGCCGCAGCAGGTCCAGGAGATTCCTGCAGGAGGAAACAACACAGGTGAAGAGACAAATAACAGACACCAGAGGTCCTTCTGGTGGGCCAGGGGGGCAAGGCGCCTCTGACACAGAGAAATGTTTTTTGCTTTATTATATACTTTGACAATTACATATGAAACTCTTAGATACAGTGAAGTTTTTATTTTAGCTACAGATTCAGACATGGTTGACCAACCGTCTAGCCATAACCCCAGTAGGAAATCAACTTTTCTAAAGCACATAAAAGAAAGCAAAAAGATCAAGGTGTTCTTGATTAAGTATAATTTTTCACAGAATTGTTCACTTGTCTACTGGACAGCAGGACCCACATTTACAATATCTCCATCTACAGCCAGTCCAGCACACACAGGCGTTCGCGTAATGTTTTCCCACGCACTGAAGCCCACCCAGCGCTCCCCTCCCGCTCCAGTGGGTGAACATTGCCACACAGGAGGTAGGGGACTGACGCAAATCTCTGTGGTGGCTTTTACTTCCCCTTTCAATCCTGGAGGGATGCCTTTTATCCTGGGCTCTGATTCCTTAACTACTTTCAGTTCTGATCCTTCAGGTTCCCAACCATCCTTTATCAATAGCACAATGAATATCTGGAAAGCTATGATTAATAGAGAGTAGAGAGAGAGGCTGCACACCTGTCCTATGCAGTCCCTGCTTTGCAGGAACCCGCTGCCTGACTTTGTCAAGGAACTGGCATTGGAAGGTCTCTGGCAGTTACTTAGTGTTAAGTTTTAAAACTGAGAGATATGAGTTCTCCTAGGTGACTCTTCTATTTCAGGATTGCTTTAGTTATTCTTCCTCTTTTTTTGAGACAAGGTCTCACTTTGTATTTCAGGCTGGCCTTGAGCTCACTTTGTAGCCCAGGGTGGCCTTGAACTTGCAGCAATCCTCCTGCCTCAGCCTTCCAAGTGCTGGAATTACAGGTGTACACCACCATGCCCAGTTGTTTTAGTTATTCTTTTATGTTGCCAGTCTGTACAAATTTTTAAATAAATATTGCTTTTTGTGAATATGTCAAGTAGCCTTCTGTAAAAGATTTTGTTGGATCTGTACATCAAGACAGAGATATTGTCCTTAAAAAATGTGACATATTCTGACAAATGAACACAGGATTTTTTAAACAACTATTTGGATTGTCTTTAATTTTTTTCCATTATATTTTGTGGTTTTCTGAGTAAAAGTTGTAAATTTCATTTGTTAAATTTATTCTAAAGTATTTTATTTTTTACATTATTTTATATTCTAAATAGAATAAGAATTAGAATTGTTTTCTAAATTTTATTTCAGATTGTTTATTCCATGCATATAGGAATACAGTTAATTTTTGTAAATTGATCTTCTATCTTGCAACCTTTCTAAACTCATTTGTTAGTTACAATAACATTATGGAAGAATCTTTAGTATTTTTCTATACCTAAAATCGTGTGGTCTGTGAACAACAGTCATTTTTCGATGTTGATGCCGTTTGTTTCTTTCTCTTGCCTAATTTCCACAGCCAGAATCTCAATATATTGTTAAATAGAAACTGCAGAAGTTGACATACTTTTGCCCATTCTTACAGGGAAAGCATGCAGGCTTTCACAGTTAAATGTGACATTAAGGGGCTGGGGATTTAGCTCAGTGGCACAGCGCCTGCCTGGCAAGTGCAAGGTCGTGAGTTTGAGTCCCGGTAGTGGAAAAAGCAAACAAAAACAAAATGTGATGTTAGCTGTGGGTTTTTCATAGATGTCCTTGATCAGATTTAGGAAGTTTAGTTCTATTCTTTGTTTGTTGAATGGTTTTATATGAACTTTTGTTGGATTTTGTCAATAATTTTTCTGATCTATTGAGATGATCATATGAGTTTTGTTTTTTATTCTATTCACTTGATGTACTACATTGATTGTTTTTAAACAATCTTCTTTAAATCATTTGTTAAATCAACCTTGCTCTCCTAAAATGAATTCCACTTGGTCATGGTAAATTTGTAAGTTGCTTAATTCTATTTGCTAGTATGTTTTTGAAAATTTTGTAACCATATCCTAAAGAGACATTGGTCTGCTTTACCTGTGACATCTTTGGTGTTGTATCAGGATAGTAGTAGCCTAGTGAAACAAATTGGTAAGCTTTCCTCCTCCTATACTTTTTGGAAGTCTTTGTGAAACTTTGTGATAATTCATTGTTGGCCTTTTGGTAATACTCAGCAAAGACATCTGTGGGTAACTTTTTAGTGATGGAATCATTTTTCTGAGTCTATTTATATTATCTATTTCTTCTTAAGTCAGTTTTCATTTTTTGTATCTTTCTAGAAATTCAACAATTTCATGTAAGTTATCTAAGTTGTTGGCAAATTATTGCTCATATTTGTATTAGCTCATTTTTTCAGCTGCTATAATAAATACCTAAAACTGAGTTCTTTATAAAGAAAAAAGGTTTATTTAACTCACAGCTTTGGAGACTGAAAGTCCAACATCAAGCAGCTTTATTGTGTCAGCTTCTGGTAAGGACCCCCTTGGCTGCATCACAACATGGCTGATGACATCATGGCTGAAGGAGCATGTATGAAAGAAGAGATTACATGGCAAGCAAGACAGAATACCAGAGACCTCCAGGGTCCAGCCTTGCTCTTTTATGACAACTCTCTCATAGAATTAAATGGGTCCTGCAAGAACGATACTAACCTCCGGGGGAGCATACCCTCAGTGACCTAATTATCTTCTATTGGGTCCCACCTTTTAAAGGTTCCACTAGTTCTTAACATTAACAAATTGTAGACCAAGCTTCCAATGCATTAACCTGTGGGAGACGTACTCAAACCTTATCCACACCATAATGGTATTCCCTCATAATCCTTCTTCTTTCTGGAAGATTGTTACTGATGTCCTCTCTTTGATTTCCCAATCTAGTAATTTGAGCCTTACCTCTATTTTTCATAGTCAATCTAGCTAAATCTTTGGTATCATTTTAAAAAATCATCTTATTTTCTGTAGTAGTATTTATTTATTTTCTGTAGTATTTTTACTAGTCTCTATGGTATTACTGTCCATTCTAGTTATTATAGTTTTTCCATTTTGATTTCTTTAGATTTATTTCACTAAATCTTTTCCACACCTGTTAGGTTGTAGATCTTTCTTTTCCTCTTCCACCTTCTCCTCCTCTCCCTCCTCCTTTTGCATCTCTGCTTCCTTCTCCTCTTATTCTTTCCCCTTCTCTTCTTTCTCCCCTTCCTTCTCTTCTTCCTCTTTCTTTTCTTCTTCCCCCTCCTCTTCCTCATCTTCTTCCTTCTCCTCCTTTTTGGTTTTTGAAGCAGGGTCTTGCTATATAGTCCAGGCTGGTCTTGAAATTGCTGTGTAACCCAGACTGGTCTTGAACCTTGCAATCCTCCTGCTTAAACCTCCACACTGCTGAGATTACAAGTGTGTACACTATGACTGGCATTCTTCTTTCTTAATATAGGCATATGTAACTATTAATTTCCCTCCAAGGACTGCTTTAGTTGCATCTTACATGTTTTGGTATACTGTATCATTTTCACTTATCTCAAACTGTTTTGTGATTTAATTGTAATACAGCATTGGCCCCCTTATTATTTCACTTTGTTGTTTGCTTTTCACATATTTGTGATATTTCCAACTTTTTCCAGTTACTGATTTGTAATTTAATTCCATTTTGGTATGAGTACATATTTTGTATTATTATGGCCTTTAAATCAATTGAGATTTGTTTTATGGACTGGCATATTTATCCTGCAAAGTCTAGCATATTTACTCTAACGTATCTAGTTGTGAATATCTTTGTATTTATCCCACTTGCTTGGAGATTGCTAAGATTCCTGGAGTGTTAATTATTGTTTTTCAACATATTTGGGGAATTTTAAACCATTGTTTCTTTAAAATTTTTCTGTCTTTTTTCTTTCTCATCATTTTTCAGAGGCTTTAAATGGTTTATTTTTAAAAAGATTTTTTCCAGTCTCACTGAGGAGTGGACCAAATTTGTTCCTCACATGCCTGTGAATGGATATAAGGAGTGTAGGTTTTTACATCAGAGGTGTAATAATAAGGTTCAGATCTACATTGTCTAAAGTATGTCATGCCAGTTGCTATCTACCTAGGGATTAGGAACACTGTGTCCGTGACTAAGTCATCATACTAAATAATTCAAGACTTTGATTCACATTTTCCCAAAGTCTGAAACAATTGTGAATACCTTATATCTACTGGGCCAAGTCAAATAAAACTGTTTCCCTTAGCTGATAGTTACTTATATATTCTAAGTTACTTATCTTTATTTTGCCTGATTTTTCCTTCAGGGCACTCCAAGCACATATATTTAACATGATTCGACAATGGCTTTTGAACATAGGCAATGAAATTAACAACAGTAACACTGAACTTCAGCGCCACGTATGTACTTTCAAGGCCTTGTGAGGTCATATTTTTGCCTTGGTTGGTGGTTTTCTTCAAGGGAAATCCAGCCCCTGACCATCCAATGGAAGCAGGATGTTACAAGAGCAAAATAGAAACTTACAATTATTCAGTGATTTTCAGTCTGCATTTTTAAATGCAGACTGTTGCTGCCTCTGGATTATCTTCATCCTTTACTAAGTATACTGAATATATTTGCTTAATGACATTAATCTAGGTTGTGATTGTTTTAAGTATTTATGTGGAATTATGTTTGTGCCATCCTTCAGCGCCTGACTGAACAGGTTACTAGGAAAGAGATGCTACAGTACTACTCTTTTATAATTATTAGAACAAATAGAATTATTCTGCAGTTATGAAGAGCTGAACCTATGAACTTCTTAACTAGCACATGAAATAATAATAATAATTTACAAAGGATGTCTTAGTTTACTACATTTACTCCCATTTCCTAATCAGTTATAATCTAAACTTACACAGGAATCTTTTATCATAGTGCACATACTTCATTTTACTAAATTCATAAAGTGAATTTAATTCATTTTAATTTTGCATAAATTGGGAATTTGAAAGGCAGAGATAAGTTTTATGGGAATATTACTGCTGAAACATTGTGATTACAGTTCTATTTCCATATGATAAAAACGCACATGTCAATAATTGAGGAGCCAATATGTTAAATCTGGAAGTATGGCTGTAGTGGATTTTTAGGCTTGGGAGGAATTCCTAAGACTTGGGAGATCACCAAAATGAAAAAGCAAAAGGGTAAGAGGGTGCCTATTACAGCGGGACTCAAATATTGGTTGAATGAAGTTAGGAAGATATTCTAGCACTGTGTGTACCTTATGGTGTTGCTACATTAAACCTTCTTTTGGCAAAATGCTCAGTTTACCTTTAGGGATTGATGTCCAAGGATGCATATATTTATATTTTTTACATTTAGAGTTCAATTTTTATAATATAGGATACTTAGAAGTACCTTATATACCTTTCCTATAGTTCTATTTTAACACTGTATTATTATAACAAAATTAGTGTAGATAGAAAATTTGACAGACTGTGAACTCCTTAAGGAGCTATATGCATCCACATTAACTGGTACAAGTATTGAGAGATGAAAAAGTTTGCCTTTTTTTAAAAAAAACCACCAGCCATTTTCTTTTCCAATCCATTTTCCTTTGCCACCTTACTCCATTTAATCTGTGCTCCCTATCTTAAATAGTGGCCTCTAAATCTTTTTAAAAATCAGATACATGGATATACATGTAGATGTACATATAGATAGAGATATACAGAGAAATAAAGGTACAAATCGCCCTTGTTTGTTTGATGCTAGATGTTGAACCCCAGGACCTTGCATATGCAAGAGAAGTCCTCTACCACTGGTCTATAATCCCAGTCTTCATTTATATTGTGAAGGGAAAAATTAAGTGTCCTTTTTTAAAATAGCAGGTAAGATGTGGCTAGATATCAAAGTCATTTTGTCATTCCTGAAAAGATTAGAAAAATTGGAATGAACTTTTCATAAAAGAAAAACACTAAATTCACCTTAAATATTCTTTTAAGAATTTCATATCAGAATTACAGTCAACCTGTTTTAGTATAAAATGATCATGTTCACCTCTATCTCATTAAAAAGAATGATTCTACGTGGTTTTTTTTTTTTTTTGAGCCTATGTTTTTGAAAGTAAAGGATATTCTTTGTGCTTAATTTTATTTTAATTTTTTAATTAATTAAGTTTATTGGTACATTTTAGGTATGCATAATGATCACATTCATCATAGGGGAATTTGTACCTGTATATGGTATAACATTATTCTTTCATTTCCCCATTCCCCTACCCTCCCTTCAACACCTCTTCCCTCCTTATTTACAAAAGCTTTATTTCCATTATTTTCCTTCTTTTCTTATTTGCCTTTTCTTTTCCCTTCCTTCCCTCCCCCCAAGTTCCCATTCCCATTTGAATACTTTTTTTCTATTTCACAATATATGTTATAATCTTTGTCCTTATTTGCACTTTTGGTTTCTCACACCAGAGAAACAGTGGTCTTTACTCACATGGGTCTGATTTATTTCACTTAAGAGTATGGTCTCAAGGAGCATCCATTTAGCTATAAAGGTCTCAAAAGGAGTCATCCTTATTTATTGCAAAGCCATACTCCACTGTATAAAAAAATCATATCGTTTTTTATCCATTTCTTGGTTGATAGGCATTTGGGCTATTTCAAAGATTTAGCTATTACAAAGTGTGCTGCCATAAACACAGGTATGCATATATTACTCTGGTATGATGCTTTTAATTCTTTTGGGAAGATACCAAGAAGAGGAGTAGCTGGGTCAAGTGGAACCTCTAGTCCTAGTTTTTTGAGGAATCTCCACGTTGATTTCCACAGTGGCTGCACCAGTCTACACTTCTACCAACAATGGAGAAGCGTTCCTTGGTCCCTGAAGCCCAGCCAGCATTCCTTATTGGTTAATTTCTTGATAATAGCCATTCTTTCTGGGATGAGATGGAATCTCAGCATTGTTTTAATTTGCATCTCTTGAATGGCCAGTGATGTTGAACATTTTTTCATATATTTATTTGCTGTTTGAATTTTTTCATCTGAGACATGTGTAGTCATCTCAGATGGCCATTTTTGGATTGGGCCTTTAAATTTGGGGGTGTCTGATGTTTTTTAGTTCTTTATATACTCTAAATAGTAGTCCTTTGTCTGAGAAACAGCTGGCAAACATTTCTTCCTACCTTGTGGGTTGTCTCTTCCCTCTGTTGGTGGTTTCTCTTGCTGTGCAAAAGCTTTTTAATAAGATGAGATTCCCGTTGTTGATTCTTTGTGATACTTCCTGTGTGATCAGGGCTGTGTTCATAAGGAATTTGCCTTCAGTTATGTCTTCAAGAGTTCTACCTATCCTATCTTCCAGCAGATTTAGTGTTTGTGTTTTAATATTTAAATCTTTGATCCATTTTGATTTTAGTTCAGTGCATAGTAAAAGATATAGGTCTAGTTTTAATCTTCAGTTTTTCCAGCACCATTTGTTAAAGAGGATATTTTTCATCTATTGAATGTGTTTGGCACCTTTGTCAAAGATGAAGTGGTTACATGTGTCTGGAGCTGGTTTTCTATCTTCTAATATGTTCCACTGATCCTTGGGTCTGTTTTTTTGCCAGTACCCTGCTGCTTTTATCACAGTAGCGTTGTAGCATTTCAGGTCAGGGATTGTGATGCCCTCTGCCTTGCCTTTGTTGCCCAGGATTGCTTTAGCTATTCTAAGTCTCTTCTGGTTCCAAATGAATTTTAGCATTGTTTTCTCTAATTCTGTGAAATATGCTGTTGGAATTTTGATTGGGATTGCATTAAATATGTACAACCATTTTGAAAAATGGCCATTTTTACTATGTTGGTTCTTCCTACCCAAGAACAAGGGATATCTTTCCATTTTCTGATATCCTCTTCAATCTCCTTTTTCAGGGTACTGTAGTTTTCAATGTAGAGGTCTTTTACTTCCTTCATTAGATTGATTTCTAGGTATTTCATTTTCTTTGGATGCTATTGTGAAAGGTATTGTTTTCCTAATTTCTCTCTTAGTGAGTTTGTTATTCCCGTACAGGAAGGCTACTGCCTGTTTACTTTGTATCCAGCTATGCTACTGAATTTGGTTATTAAATCTATAAGTCTTTTGGTGGAGTTTCGGGGATCTTCTATGTAGAGTATCATGTCATCCCTCGTCGTTCCCCGGACGGAGGACTTCCGGCGCACAGGGAGCCTCGGGCGGGGAGCGCCAGTCTTCC